CATGCAAGGTCTGTTTGAGGAACGGCTCCTGTTTGAAACCCTGCAACGCCTTGAACCTCGATTCCTATGGGGTATGTACACGAGTGTGTCTGCGACGACGGGCCTGGCTGGATCACGCTATCGGATCCACTTCCTGGGGTCCGAAATCCCATCCACCATGCTCCTGGATGGCCGCATGGTCGAGGAATTCATTTTCCGTGGCCGATGCCTGCGAGTCTACGGCCAAGGCTGGTTCTTCCGTGACAAGCGACTGGCTCGCCTGGACCTCGATGCCGCCGCCGCCAACATCACACCGGCTACTCCGTCAACCCCACCGGCACCCTCTACCACCTCACCACCAGCTAGCTCAGCTAAGCCGGCTAAACGTCAGAAGACGACCACCAAGGACTCCAACGAGTGGACTGACGTCCGCCGAAAGCAGCCAGCGGTGTCCACGGTGCCCCACGCTGTGCACACCCATGGTCGGCCCTGGGCGTCACCAAATGCGTTTGCCGCACTCCACGAGCGATGGACCTTCGGACACGCGGTGCACCGGGCAACCCACAGTGGTGTCTCCTTCGAGACAATCATTCCAGAGCCCACTCCGCTCGCCTCTGCCCCTGTCCACTCCACTACTGGTGAGTATGTGACGTGCCCAAAACCACTCAAGGGCAAGATCTCGCATGTCGAGGTGCCACTCGACGACCTCATCGCGGAGCTCCATTCGCTCGAGACCAAATCCTCGGCTGCCGTCCTGAACCATGCACCGGTCGTGGAAGCTGCCGTCGTTGGCAGCGACGTCAGCCTGGCTACGCTCGTGAACTCAGGTCGAGTGGACTCAATCTGCACCTTCATGGGACGGCACCCAGAGGACTTTGGGATCCAGCTCCACCGCCTCTTTGCCGACGACCGTCCTACCTTCGAGCTGCTGATTCGCCAGCGACTGCTGCATCGATGGCTCCGCGCTACCTGGGGAGGATCAGCGTCCTTCGACCAGCTCTACACCAAGTCGTTCGGGCACAAAATGACCCGGGACTCCGTGGTGGAGCTCTTCCGAGCTCTGCAGCACTCGGACACCCTCGAACCCATCGTCACTGCGACCGATGTACTCCATAAGTGGAGGGCCATTGGCCTAAAGCCAAGAAAAAGCGGGAGACAAAACATTGGCGTATAGTTGTACAAATCCACTCATATCCTCCTTGATAACGAGAAGGTATCTTGACCCGTCTGATGCCTTGGGTATAGTGAGCCAGTTGAAGTATATCGACTCTTTAGGCTTCTCCGCGTGCAGTGCAGAGCCCAGTGGTCGTGGAATCATCTCGCCATCAACACACAAGCAGTAGGCATCCACGGACGAACTTCTCCACGTCGTCCTTGAGGGTCCTCCAGATGAAGTTGGCTGCCACTGATTTCGTCGTAGCTGCGATTCGTCGATGCCCACTTGCACCTTGGTGGGTAATTACGCACAAGCGTTGCTGAAGGTCCACGGCGCTGTCGGGCACCCAGATTCGATCGTCAGGGTCCATGTAGAGCGCGAGTCGGCGCTCCAAACTATACCAGATGATGTGGTCTCCCACCGCGGAATACCTATTTCCTAATCGCTACCGATGGACACAGCGGTCGGCCATTCAAAATCATCATGTTGCAGCGGCGACACAAGATGAACCAGGCGAATGTGAGCCAGTTTTGGAGAGTATTCACTCGACCCCCAGAAACTCAAGAGATCGCCCCAAACGTTCACAGGGCCCTGAACATGCTCGACAGTGTACGGAAAAGTCGACATGACTTATGCTTAACGCTGCAGCTTGTCGGAATCGTACTTCGCAATTTTCGAGTTCGATCTCGACGGTTTGAACATGTACACGATATTGCGATGGTTCGTAAGCAAACGAAAACCATCTGGGCGCACGAGTAGATAGTTCAATCGCTTGCAGGACTCCACGACAGAATACGCTTCTTTCTCGACTATAGACCACATGGCACTAGCCCCCGAGAATGTCTTGCTACAAAACACGCAAGCGGTTCGTGACGTTGCTCCTCCACAGGCAGATTCAGGTCAGTTGGCGGCACTTAAGTAGCCGCAGCGCCCCAAAATATATCGCTGGCGTCTGTGAACAAACACACCACCACGCCATCGCGCGGGTTACGATAATTTACCAGTGCATGCTTGACATCTTCGAAGCAGGCGCTGTGATCGGCAGACCACCCGATCGTCGATAGCGAAACGCGCGTCAAATTGGTTTCTTCGAGCTTCCCGCTACATTGGCTGCAATATCGAGCAGTTGACGGGAGGCTCGATCAATTCGTTGTAACGCGGGATACTCGACCGCATCCAATTCGTCGCGCACACAAACTGCTGTAGGTCGCCAGCTGAGCTTGACGGCGCCAAATTAACCAGAAATTGGACCTGTCACGCTTGCAGCAACCTTGTGACTAGTGTTGGCGCACTTGAGACAACCTGTAGCACTGCGGGAGGAAGCGTTTGAGGGCAAAATGCACAATGAATTAACTAAGGATCTACTAAGATCCCCTTAGTCCTCATCCCTATCGAATCTTCTTTGTCTACGTCACTACTTCTACACTAATGTGTACTTTTGTATACAATGGATGCGGGTGCGTTTGAGACATTGGGGGACTTCACTAGGCTACCGCTTCTAAGCCATACATGCCCTTGAGACACATCCCCAGGCAATCATTAGATATGGTGCGTCATGAGCCAGGCACCTAGGAGCTGGGTGCGGGCAAGGGGGTGGCAAGGCGTTACCCCCACCTGTCACATCGCTACATTCTCCCCCTGACGTCTTGCTACACTTTGAAACGCCTTGACTCCAAGTCTTGGACGAGTTGCTTGAAGCTGCACAACATGCTTGATGTCCTTCATCAGTTCCCACCTGGCTTCGCTTTCGGGCTGTCCATGCCACTTGACCAAGCACTCCCGATTGAACTGGTGCTTTGGAGCAGTTTCTCGACAATGTACATCTCTTCACCGGTGGATTCGTCTAGAATAACAGGGGTAGCTTTCGGGATAGGCCGGGGCGCGGCAGTGCTTGAATCGTGCGCGCAAGATAAAATCTCGGCGCGTAGCACGTCATCGTTGGGGACACATAGCTTCCAAACTTGGTCTTGGCTTCGCAGAAAGCAGAGTCCTTCTTTCCACTTGAAGGCTTCACCTTTCATCGACGTTGTCCCTGAGTCCTTTGTGTATGCCTTCAAAAAACGTTCCTTGGCTTTGGTGTCCATTTCTCGATGGTGCTAAAGGACACTTGCTTCGAGTGGTTCACTGTTAGGTGTTGAGGCACTGGAACTCCTTTTTGCTCCCCCAACTCCCCCCCAAAAGGAGAGTCGATAATGACGGCGATGTCACAGTCGTGTAAGCGGAGAGAGCCGAGGCATGGACAAGAAGTCGATTGATTCGCGCCGCGACTGAGGCACAGTGGATACCACACGCGTGGATTGAGTGCTGGTGAACGGTGGAGGTGGCCTGTGGAGGCCGAGACAAGGCCTCAGCTACCAAATTCAACTTGCCCGGGCCACCGGCGTTGTCATGAACCACTTGCAGCAGGAGTTGTCGGTGTATACATCGAACCGAGTGTCATGCAGGTAATGGCGCCACTTGCCGAGAGCCAACTTAGTGATGTACACTTCTTTTTCGTGCGCGGGCCAATTCTGTTCGTGAGGACTGATGCGCTTGGAAATGAAAGAAACGGACCGATCATTGCCGTCGCCGTCGAGCTGGGAAATGACTGCACCACAGCAGAAACCAGAGGCGTCGGTGGTAACCACATAATACTTGTTGTAGTCATGCAATTGCAAAACAGGGGCTTGCTGCAACGCGAACTTGATTGTCAAAAACGCTCGACGCTCGTCCTCGCTCCAGTGCCACTTTGCTCCTTTCTTCAGCAATCCACTAAGGGGACGG